GGCAGAGGTATCGGATCCGCCAAGAAATATGTTCTGATCAGTGACAGATCCAAAGGTGGTTAGTTTGAAAATTTCAGAATAAATACTCTTCTTATTAGGCCTCAACCATTTAAAATTGCTTGTGAAGTCATTCAATCCTAAAGAGTAATTGCTGACAATAGCTTTTTAAAAGAAGAAACATTGTTAAAACAGAGGAAGTTCGAAGTGGCTTGCTTACCATAATAGTAGCTTTGATGTGATTATGAATGATCCTTTCAGTACCGGATGTCGTCTCATATTTCCCTATTTTTATCAGAACGTCGATGATATCTTCGTGTTCTTCCTCTGTAATTTGGCGACCGGAACAGAGGTGATCGTCTAGCACTTTCTGGAAGAAAGCATCCAGTCTTTTAAAATTCCGTTCGAGTCTTTTTTGGAAACCGGTGATTCTGTCCACAATCCAACCGAAGTAAGGGAAGAAATCGGCGGCCGCAAAGCTTTCCATCATAGCAAAAGCTTCATGAATCACCTCTTCGAAATCCGCGCCGAATTGGTCGTATCCCCTTTCTCTGAAGCTCTTTCCAAAAGCAACTCGACAAGTAATATCAGTGGTGAGAGACATCAGCTTCTCACTGAGGTTGACCGGTGTCCCCAATTTGGAGAATTCCGAAATTGATTTCATTAGGAATTCCACCTCTTCTTCTCTAATGAAACGAAAAGATTGGACCCTTTTAATGCTGAGGAGTTCGATAACGTACAGACGTCGCATTTCCCTCCAGTAATCGCCATAGGCAGCAAAGCCGACGTTGAGGTAGTTATAGGAGAGCTTTCCGGCACCCGTCGAGGGAGGTCGGCTGCAGCAATCGAGATCGTGGGCTTTAAAGAGTTCTTTTGCGGCTTCTGCAGAGGATACAATGAGTGTTGGGACAAATCCAAGATGAACAAGCATTAAAGGGCCATGTTTCTTTGACATTTCAAAAAACGACTGGTGGGGAATTGCTCCAATTTGGTGAAGGTTTCCGATAATAGGAAGTTTTCGAGGGCCAGGAGGACGCAGCAGCTGCTTTCGCTTTTGTATCTTCTGGAGAAGAAGAACTAAGAAAAACAGAAAAAGAAGAAGAATAAACATTGGCATAACTACTAATGAAGATCCTCAAAGTGGTTTTAGCTCTCAGCTTTCCTTGCTTCGATGACTTTAACGTCCCTCACAATTTATAGCCAAACAAGCGAATTCAACTCCGTGGGCCGGTAGGAGCTGTAAGTAGTTATTTATTAGTTATTTATTATGTGTTTCTTTAATATGTGCCCTTGTGTAATTATGTACAAATTAATCGTATATTTATAGTATTATAATTATGATATTTTAATTAGACAGTTTATAAAATTAAAATTAATTTTAATTTTTATATAATTAATAATAAAAAATATAATAAATATATCTTTAACTCTATCTTAAAGATATATGTTTGAAAATTTTATTTATTATATAGGTTTTTCTATTTTATACTTTTAGAACACATGTTGAAAGTGCAATAAATATATATTTTGATAATTAATTTACACAAACAATAACAAAAGTTTATTTGAATTTAATCAGTTGATTAATTAAAACTATCCACGTGACAATGATACTAAAATAAAAGCTAACTTTTATAAATTTTTTATGTAAATTAATTATAAAAATATATATTTATTACATACTTAACGTGTAAGTTAAACAAACCCTTATCATATGTGTCAATTTAATCACATGAAATTAATTTCAATATTGGGTGCAAAAATGAAAGGTTAGGGTTAGGCATTCTGGTCATATTGTCTAAATCAAATTAGGTATTCTGGTCATATTGTCTAAATCAAATGAGGCCACACCAAATTTTAGGTTATCTGAATTTAGATGTGACTTTCATCCCAAACTCAAACTAAATATTTGATTTGGTTGGTTATAAGTTTGGATAACTAAAATTATTTAGATAATGTAGTTAATTAATTAAAATAATTAAAATTTTTATGTATCAATATTAATATATCATTATTTTTCATGGTTGATTATTAAAAACTTTTTCTTATTAATTTTGATTATTTTTAATTTTTTTT